AGTTGTTGCTTTCCAGTGGCGACTCCCCTTCCGACTTGGAAACGTCAAAGGGCGGCGCCAAATCTCCCAGGGCCTCTCCAAACATTCCAAATACGGCTGGTCAAACCCCTTTGTAAGACTCAATAGGTGCTTTTTCTAGCATATCTTATGCAGCACAAACTTAGAGTTGTTGATTAATATGGCGTTCGGGTTTTGGTTCAGACACTACGCTTGTGAGGATGGAAACGCCTCCGTTGTACGGCTATTACTACAGGCTGGCGGAGACCTCTCGGCTAAAGACAAGGTGAGGAGCACACTTTGAATTGATCGTACAGCCTTCGCAATGTTAACTTACCTTGATAACAGTAAATCATATTGTAAAACCTAAAATGCTTAACATTCTGCAACTTCTTCATAAACTGCTTACCATACAACAATGACTACTGTCATTGTCACTCGTTAGCGTAGTCCCGACTAAATTGGATTTTGTCTTCCTTTGGCCAAGATTTACCTGTTAATAGGTTGTTTCAACCACGAAACGGTTTTCAGAACTGTACATTTTTCAAAGTAGGTATTATATTTTGCTTTCTGATATCCGTCTGTCTTAGGACGGCAAAACGCCAATCGAACTGGCACCCGACCATCTCCGTGTTGCAATCCCCAGTGAGCTCGGTCTTGTTCGATAAGGTGCCTACATTTTGTACAAATAAAGTATTTTTTTCTTAATTCTCTCTTTAATACATTGTATGGTCAGTAATGTTTAGATGAAAGAGTTACATGGGCGGTTTTATTTGATTCAGTAGCGACACACACAGCCACCCGATAGTGTCACTTGATCGGAGTTAACACGGTTCCCGGTGTTACTCAGAAAGTTAAGGTATGGCAAGTCGGGGACGGTAAAACTAGGCGAAGGAAACTATTTTAACCTGCGGTGTTTTTGGTTGTATGCCTTTTTGATATAGTTATCATGTTTTGGGTGATGGCAATGGAAGACCGGGTATATAGTGTAGCATTCTCGCTTGCACTGTCGCTATATTACTCTTATGACTTTCAAAATTTTGAGCTCTACTAATTCGCGATGCTCACTTCCCGTTTTCTCCCAGGACGTTGCTTCAGTTGAAGGAACATCATCGCTAAATTGAAACTGGATTCTCCTTCATATATCATGCTCTAGGTTTGAAGACGCGACTCTAGGCTGCTGCAAACTTGCATTTGATTCCAATTTCACGGACTTCTATTCCCGTAGCATTAACTGGCCTATTTTACTGGATCCTTAAGAGATTCACCTGTTCGTTTCTCCGCTCACACATGTAAATTGCGGGGATTATGGGGATGCTTTTCGTGGTTCTAAATCGGCGCTGTTCCACGCCTAATTTCGATAGGTCGTAATCTCATACTTTTTCTCCGGTCTGAAAGCATCGAATCGATGCAAGAGGCGCAGTAGGGTCCTTGTTTTCAAGATCATGCATTCCCCATCGGGGTCTTAGAAAATGCAAGCTTGTTTGGGCAATATAAATAGACAGTCTGCATATTCTGGCTGGAGTCTGCAATCGAAAAATATTATCAAGGCAGCTACACGAACCTTTTAATTGGCAGCATCTGTCTCGACTGCCACTAGCTAGCCACACACACCAACCCTAGGCGGCAATATCTGAGGTTTTATGAGTCTGTAGCCAGCTTTTTTGCCCAGGTCAGAGGTGGATAAAATAAGAAACGGGGCGGTCCGGTAGTAAAATCGATCCCGACCGAATGGCCGACATCACTGCTGATCAAAGCGAAGGAAGCCCCCTACCCGAATGAGACAACGGGTCAATTAGCATGCTAATATGGTGTTTCTCGCCTGAAACAGGCCAGACGATAGAACCGTTGGACGAACATAGCGGCCGGATTAGAGCACTTCAGGCGTTATTGGGGGTACACATCCATAAATATACTACAGACTGGGGTGTTGTGGCACACCTAGGCACCGGTTCACGCCGCAAAGTCACGTGCCCTATCCCGCCTCCAGTATCCTTGACTGTCACGACATCGGATCCAGGGGGCCGGGAGAAGCGAAAGCGCTGTAGATGCTGTGCAAGCTTACTATCCCTATAAACTAATGTGCATGCTGCCGTCCTTGTGGAACTTACGGTGGACGTGGTCGGAGACGACAGGCGAACTGTGTCTCTGAACGCGTCATCGAACCGCATTCGGTATTGCCGTCATAGCGGATTATATACGGGCTCCCTTATCAAGTCCTCCTATCGATACTTCCTGATTATCGTCTTCCTAGTTTGCTGAAGTCGATGTTGAACGTAATGGCAATCTGAGCCGCAGTGCACCGAACAAATGCTTACTGGCAGAATCAGGCAATTAATTAATGTAATGTAATTAACGTAGCAATTAATTTGGGCCCTTTACCCTTAGTTTTATAACTGAAGAAGTCAATTAAG